GACTACGCTCGAACCGATATATCCAGTAAAATATAACGATCTATCATGCTTCGAAACTTGGATCCGGTTGACAACGCTCGAACCGATATATCTAGTAAAATATAACGGTCTATCATGCTTTGAATTCCTGACTTGCATGTCTTCTTTTGTGAAAGCAATGCAAGGAAATTTGGTGGCTGCCAGATTGCAATGCTGCACTGATGACTCTGGCTCTTCAGGAGTTGGCTTGACCTGAGTGAGGAATACCTCAGAATCAGCCAAAGCTTCTTGTAAAGCTTCTCTGGTTTCTTTTGAGAGACGCAACAACTCGTATAGTGTAATCCTTGCTAGGATATTGGCTAGCTGAGCCATTACGTCGAAACGATATGGTGCGTTCAAACTTTCCGGTTTATCTCGTCCAATCGGTCGGCTGAAACGAGACTGCTTCGGAATTTGAACCTCTTTATGTTGGGGTTCTTTCTCTTTTTGCTTAGCCGGTTGTTGCGGCTTTTCAGCAGCTACTGGAGGAGTTGTAGCTATTCCCAGCTCTTTTAGAGTTGTAGCATTTGGGTTAGAGGTCTCAGGATATTTATAATGGTACTCATTCCCACTTCTTGTAGCGAAAACTTCCTGTTCTTCATCAGAAAGTGATAAAGCTGCTATCTCTTCATCGTTCTTCTCGGGAATCGCCGAGGCTCCATAACAGGATTTCTCTTTTCCCTTGCCCTTTGACTTCTTCTTTGATGTGGATGTTGTCCACTGTTCATCTTCCAGCAAATCTGGATGAACCCAAAGGATTTCGCCGTTGGGGGTTGTGTGAGATACAAGACCCTTCTGGCGCTGTCCATGAGGGTCATCGTTGATGGTTTGTACTTTGACCTTTGATACTGGCTCTGCTTGAAACCAGGACAAAGGAACCGATCTGAAGCTAATTGAGACCGTGTTTGCGCCTACTTTCTTCTCCTTTGGCTTAGGCGTCACAATACCAACATCAATTAAGGTTTGTATTTTGTCCTTTAAGACATAACACGTCTTAGTGGGATGGTGGACCCTCCTGTGATAGGCACAATATTTTGGGTCATTGGTTTTCGTTGCTTCTTCTTGGTTTGTGACCGGTGGAAGCTTGATCTTGTTATTCTCCAACAAGTATTTGAAGATGACTGGAACTTCATCATCTTTGAAAGAGTATTCCTTCGGGAATCTGGGCTCCAAAGTCTTGGGTTGTCTCGGAGGCTGTTGATTCTGATTTGGTGCCAACTGGAAGGGTGACTGCTGCGGTTGTTGTTGCGGCGGGTGGTGCGACGTTTGATGTGCATCCACAGCTGCCGTGGACCCTCTTCCTCTGCCTCGAGGATTAAAGTTCTGTTTTTGATTATTAGCTGGTGGCAGACCTCTCTCCAAGTTCTTTCTCTTGAGAAAGCGTTCAGCCTGTTCACCTCTCACTTTCAACTCCTTCCAAGTTTTAGAGGGCACAACCCCCATGACCTCTAATACATCCAAGGATAGGTTATTATGACATGTTTGCAGGATAAATTCCTCTGTGAGTGGATCTATGCAGTTCACCGCTTTGTCCCGGAATCGTTTGACAAAGATATCGACCGATTCCCCATCTTTCTGCTTCTCATCCAACAACGTGTCAATTGAGACCTCTGTGTCATCGTCGAAGAAATTAGTGAGGAATAATTCTTCCATATCCTCCCAGCTAGTAATACTCCCGGGCTTAAGACGTTGGTACCAATCGAAGGCAGGCCCACGAAGGGTTCCTACGAATGACCGGACCATCAGGGCTTCGTTCCCGGATATTGCACCGAGATGCGACTTGAAATAGATCAAGTGCTGAGTTGGTGAACCCCTGCCATCAAAAGGAGTAAAGTTAATCAAATTAAATTTCTGGGGATAAGGAATCAGGTCCCATTCCCTCGGATACGGGTATGGAATGCCCGTTTTCTTCACTTCTTGAACCGTCATCAGAGCGTTGACTTTGCTCTCGAGATCATGCATCTTCTTGTCCTCTTCCTCGCTTTTCTTCAAGTAGATCTGTGGAGGTTGAGTGGATGACTTGGTCGGACCGCTTCCGGAGTTGTCTTTATCTGGAGGAGGATCGTCAAAGATAGTCTCATCCTCTTCATTACGCCGGCTGGATTCCGCCTTCTGGCTCGATTCCGGTTGGTGTTGCTGAACCTGCAAGTCTCGCATCTGCTGCATAGTCAACTCCATTTCGGTTTTGAACTCAGCTCTAATTTCTTCGCGTTGTTTAGCCAACGCCTCCTACAGGATATGAGCCAGTTGATCCGGCGTGATTGCAAATAATTCTCTGACTTGCCCAACACTGGACGCGGTATCGTCCGATGCAATGGCGGAACAAGTATCTTCATCTGAAGAGAGCCCCTCGTGCATTCTCTTGTAATCTCGACGTAGGTTGGCTCTTCTTTGTAACCGCGACATCCTTTGAGAAAGACCCCGCTCAACTCTCCCTCCCGGAGAGAAATCAGGGTCGTAGTTAACTGACTTTTGCTTTCCTTTATTGGTCATGTTGATAGTGACCTCAGGGAACTCATCTTGTCAGATTGTCTTGACGCTTCATTGGATAATCTTTGAAATACGGAGACTCTTGTTGAATTATTCTTAGAGCATCCACATTCTGTCAACACTGCTTTAATGAGTCTCTCGCAATCGCAATGAGACTCGTTTTCTCTGACAACCCTCTTTCTTGAGTTATCTTTCTGATAGTACAGCTCATCATTATTGTGATTCGAGCAACCTATCTTTTGCCTTTGAACTTTGTTAACATGCACAGGACGACTGGTCATCGCCTCTGGGTGATCCAAAGTTGAATTTTTAAATCCACCCCTTTGCGGGAGTGGGGTTTTCATAGGTCCTAAACGAGAGTGGACTGATATTCTCTCGTTTCGGATTTGTGCAGTTCTGACAGGAGGGTGTTTACGACCCCCTGTATATGAAACCACTACGGGTTTATTTACAGGATCTGATGGTTCTTTAACTGGGGCTTTGCCTCGATCGTCAGCCGAAGGACCGAGGCGATCCGCCATGGTGATCTTAAACTTAGACAAATCTGGGCTAACCCAGGGTTTCACTGATGATGCAGTAGACGGGCCTGGAACAGATGCTTGCGGCGTCTTCGGCATCCAAACTTTACGATTCTTCGGTGGCCTTTCAGACACCGTCTCCTTCTTGGTTCCTTGGGCTTGTTGACGAAGAGCACGAGCATGGGCGGCCTTCGCTTTACGCCTTTGTATCCGTTCCTTAAGGGTTGAACGGGCCCTTTTGACGAGAGTCCACTCCTCCGTCGTAAGTTGTGCAGAAATATGATTATCTTGCCGTTGAGGCAACTGAATCATTTTCTGCCTCCTCGACTCTAGGTCCGCATAGTAATGGACCCCGTCGGCTTGTTGCATGGCTTTAGCCAATTGTCGAGCACGGCGCTGGCGCTGTCTCTGACGAGCTCTCTTCGTCAACACCGATGAGCTATTGATCAACGACTCCGTAACGGGTGTAGAGTCGTTTTGAGCAGGGATGTTGCAAGGAGATTCCTTAGCAGCAGTCGGGCAAGAATCTTCGCCTGCGGTCTCCGTTGGAATTGCAGACTTGAAAGTTTTCTTGAAAGGTGAAATCTTCCTATATTTGCGAGACGAGGAAGATTTCGCAGATGAGGATGACAAATACTCCTCAAACTTCGCCTGATCGAATTCGTATTCGATCTCTTCGTTGACGATGATCTTGATCGGTTGCGACACCGCGGTCTCGGCAGCGAGACCGCTGGCTCCCACTGTGGTCGCCAGCTTGTTTG